TAAACAAAGAAGTTTATTCAGATATTATCACCGTCTTATTGTCAGGTCACCAGCAGCCTCGTCTGCACTGCACAGAATTGAAAGAAAAAGCTCTCTTGTTACATGGGACCAAAGAGCATAAGTATAGGGGAACAAGGAACTCATAACTATTGAAAATTGTGGGTTGCATTATACAATGTACACCTCTGCCTATCCCTTGGGAGAATAAAACTCGTGACGTCATGATACACACATTAAATATTAATTAATTAGATTATTTTTATTCATTGGAATTTCTTGTGTTCTTCTGTGACGTATAAGTGCACATACAAATACATAACTTCACAAACGCTCAAACCAGCTATGATATTCTCTAAGAAACAGATTCTAGGCTGTACGCTGCGTCGAATTCGCAGCAGCGCTGCAGGCAACGCTGTATCCTTAGAGAATAGCACTGCTGGATATATTCATGAATCACACAAAGAATTGTTATTCTAACTTGGGATTCGAACTCCACAATGTTGAGCAGTAAACGATGACTCAGGTATTGCATCAACCGTCCAGTCAAAGGAAGAATTATCCAAAATAATTTATTTCTCCAAAAAGTAGTAAATTTCAATGCTGTTCAATCATTTTACTAGATTAACATTTAAAATGTATTTGTATTAACTGCCGGTTTCCTTTTTTTTTATCAAGGTATTTGTGTGAAATCATATTTTAGAGTTACTGTAGGTGTAGGTACAGAACAATATTCAATAAGTAATTTTACTTACTAGATCAGAAACTAAAACTGTACCTGTGTGCACAACAGACACTTACTTAAGTAGTCTTCATATTGTAATATGTAGCAAGTCTGCATACAAACTTGTATGTATGTAACAAGTGTAAAAAGGTTGAAGTAATAGAATAAAACACATTAGTATCAATCATACAATATGTATTTAATATAAGATACAGTACTTGTGACAGGTGGACAAACCATTTCATTTGAAAAAAAAACCTTAATAATCACTACATTGAACAATTTCAAATTTAAATTAACATTCACTATTATTATGCCCAAATGTGTGATAAATTAATTGAGGTAGATTACCCATCAGCTCGTGGGTTCAAAATTATAATTAAATTTCACCGATTTCACCATAGGGTATAAGCAAATAAGACAACGCATTAAACATTTACTATATATAATTAAATATCTACAAATTGAATAAGTAGTGCAAACTATTGGAATACACAGGCTCCACATAGTTACTATTGTATTCAAACATTTACAATAAAGGAGAACATTCATATAATAAACGCATAATATAGGAAACGTGTTTGAAAGACAACTCGAACATTACCACTAGACTAACCCCGCGCGGCCGCGGCCCGCCTCGGCCGCCGCGCCGCCCTCGCAACCAGGCGCGAAGCAAATTACAGTACTCTGCAGAATAATACTTAATAATAAATACTTAACTATATACATTCCTCGAGTTCTGTCAAAGTGCACGAAATATTGAATCACAATATCCAACAACATAATTGTATGGCGTCGTACTGTCCGACTGTACGTCTGCGGCACGGCTGTAATGTGTTTCACGCCTTCACATACATCAGTGGACACCTCACAACATAACTCTGATCAAACAATAGGGCTTAAATAAAATTGGCAGCGACTACCATTGTTCCCCGTTGTATACTCTGTCACGTAACAAAAAGATTTTGCATGCGAGTGAGGCGGCGGTTAACTAAAATATAAAATTCGCTGAGCAATAAGTGAACGGGCGCGCGTCCCACAGACATGCAAAACCAAACTCAATTCTCACATCGACACGACAACATCTATGACTATTGTGGCAGTGATAAAAATATATTGTATCTTTTCGAGCTTACCAATATGTATATCAATGTATTTCCGATATAATTTCATCGCCTCGTCCCAAGAGACGTATTGTCTTCACAAAATATCATCTCTGACTAACATCCTGAACGACTAACTCTAATCTAATGTTAATTTAATTTTAGTCCGATTATTTGCCAAACACTAAATTTATCGCATCGTAATATAGCGAACGAAATTTGTACTCAAGCATTTTATAGGCCAGATGTGTTTGTATGTGTCAAAGTTTGTTCTTGTAAGTAAAATAAGTTTAAATTGAGCGACACTTAACATGTTCATTAGAATAACAGCCACGGATCGCAGGGACTGGGATCCTCTCATGCATCCTCATCATAATCTGTTACACTGCCGATTCTGAGATCAAATATTCAAGTCCATATTGTTACACGGATAGAACAAAAACTAATTTTGTCTTTCTGATTTTGGTGTCGAATTTCACTATAAAAATAATTTATTAAAAAAAGCGAGCCAATAAAATATGGCACTACGATCAGTGCTGAAAAAATAATTACTCTAATTTTTTAAATTTATTAAAAAAATAATCAGTACGTTGGAAATGCTCCAAAAGGAAGTCTAAACTGTATAATATGTTAGCATACGATCCCCTGAACACGCGAACAATCAGGCACCAACTTGACTACTAGAGAAATTTTCCTATACACTTCTTTGGGTCCGTACCTACTACGAATTCGTGCTAAAGTACACGCGCGAGGCGCGCGCTGTACTTCGGAACCAACTCATGTCCGGCCGCGACACTCCGCCGGCTCCCGCCACAATATACTATTCACATTCAATTCACATTATTAGTCTAGGGGCCGATTTACACTACTAAATGAATCTAATAAAATCTCCATTCCAGTTTACGATAAGCGATAGTCTGAAAAATACGTTCTGGTGTTTTATACAATTAAGTAAACACCACGTTCACACAATTCTTCCTAACTTAACGCTATAGGCACTAACTAAAAAATACTAGCGAGATCGTGTGAGCACAGAACACATTTTTATATTCACTTGTATAATCCCTTATGGCTAAAAGGCAGTTTATAATCTGACAACTTCTGTATAGGGGCGTCCAAAAAGTGGAAAAGTTCATTTACACCTAAACTCTGTACTAATCAGCTATTGACATTAGTTCATTGGCATGGAGTTACTGTATGAGCTGTATCATTCGGAGTCATTTCACCGGACTTGCCTTATAAATGCGCTTAGATCATTGGAAACTACACTTACAACTGTGTCGCGATCATTAACAACAACTTGGTGTTTCTTTTACACAAATCGCTTACATAACTCGATATTAATATATTTAATATTATAAAGAACACGATGCAACATTGCTTTTCTATTGGTTATGGAGACATAACCATAACTTACAATAAATTATTAATATTGAACATTTCAAGGCTCCTTACATTTCAATGATCTAAAAACATTCGCCACTACAATACATTACTTTCACAACAGCATCACTATATTCTCTAACCGCACACTACGAACTACAACACGAGTATTCTTATATCATGGAAACTGCTACTGTATTCATAGAACCAATGGAACTGTACGTGCACTCATTTACTAACAACAAATACTATGTTATAGTATGCCATGTTGTTATTCAGAATCATAATAAGTCATAATGTCACATAGACTCAACAAGAATAGAAATTCATTATTTTGGACTCTGATGTCAAGAAATTTCATCATTTAAAAGCTAGTATATGTTATAAACAACATATCAAATGATAGCTAACAATATGTAACAAATTGTACAGGCAACAAGGCATTTACATTTATAGACTGAAATATTAAGAAATAATACAAAGTTCATTGTGTTAAGTAAAGTTAATAATAAATAGACATTGTCATCAACAAATGGACGCACATAAAATGTATACAAACAAATGATAAGGTACGAATACTCATGCTGTTTTCCCAAGTGTTATCCAACAAACAAACCCTCTCATAAATTGAATTAGAAATTTACTTCTATATCTTTAAAAACCACTTCTACAATATTGTTAATGTATATTAATGTACCACACAAAAATAGGGCTAATCTTGTGCGTGGAAACGAACGTCTGTTATCAATATAATCTTATCACAAAAGTTTTATTGCTAAACGGTATCGTCGAGGCTTAACAAGTTGTACACAACTTTCAATGGCAGTGACATTATGTAATAATATGTATATACTAGTGACAGGTGTCGATTCCTCCGCCACCAAACACAACAAAGGGAATAAAACATCGAATATCAAAATTGTTCGTCCTACGCTACGAGTAAACTGCGAGTTTCGATTGATATGAGTAGGCACGTACGTTCTGATGTATAGTGAACACTAGCTGGCACAGTGCGAGCCCTGGGCGAGGCACTTGTCCGGAAGACTGTCGCCTCTGTAAGCGAAAGCAACACGCGGGGACTATTACAACTAAAAGCGAAATTATTTAATACTAATCTATGTACCGCGGAGTCGGCACGTCTACTATGTACAGTTGGCAGTGATGCGCGTCGCTGGTCGTCCTTACCCTAACTTACGCTACTCAGACTAACGTCCGTTACTCTACCGCCTATGTTACAATACGAGCTCGTACTTATATTACACTTCCACTAACTATGTACACGGTTTGTTCGCGCCGCGTTCTACGACCTCGATGAACGGACGCGTTAAGGCTCGATATTTCGACCGTTCAATATCATTATAAAAAAGCATCAGTCTTGTGAATAAAATTTAACTTTCTGCTGTATAGCAGTCTAAACCGCATCGCGGCTCCTCAACAATCTTTGGCGAGAATTTTCCTAAGTCGGATATCGTCGGCCGTCAGCCTGTCCTCGAATCAACATCTGTCTCGCTCGGCTCACACCAACTACATACGCTCACAGTATCTACGTCTATCGAATACAATATTTCTTCTATCCAATTACGACAATAAAGTTCATAGATCGACTTCATTCCGAGCGGATCGACGGCAACTTTGAAAGGCAGATAGGCTTGTATAAAATGGAGTCGATCACATTCAATCATACAATGCCTCATTCATTTCAAACTAAATCATTTTCCTAGTCAACGTAACCTAAATCTGTCCCGTGTCACAAAGTGGCCGTCGGTCCGCGGTGACAGACGCGTGCAGTGTTCCTATCGTCCGGCCGGCCAGAAGGAGTTCCCCCCGTAGCGGCGGCCCATCTTGCGCTTGGCGGCGCCGGCCGGGCGCGCCGGCCGCTCGGGCTCACGGCACTGCGGCGGCTCCGTGCGGCACGGCGCGGCGCGGCGCGGCGACAACAGGTCGGACAGCGCGCGCGCGGCGCCGCAACGACGCGGCGTGGTGCGGCGCGGCGCAGGCGGGGGCGGCGGCGCGGGGCTGGCGGCGCGGTACGACGCACAGAAGTGCTCGTACAGCGCCACCTTCACACTGGCGGACAGCTCGGCGATCTCCACACGTTTGATGCTGCTGACGTCCTTCTCGGGCACCCACTCGTCGTCCAGCCTGCAAGGACACGCGCACAAGTTACTACGGCCGCTCTAGTACGTGCCACACGGAGGTAGCTGCAAACACAACACATGCACTCCGAAAATTGGTGTAATGTTGGTCAGCTTCTGAAATAAAGTTTAGTTAGCTTTCTTTCTTCTTTCAAATCAGTTATACATCTTTCTAGATCTTTATTTGTGACTTGTGTTTGCAGCGATTATGGGCACCAATCCCATATACAAAAATTACTAAATTATAAGACATGCATTTCTAAGACAGAAGCAGGTTTGTAAACGAGTGAGTCTTGTTAAAGATACTTCTAATGTGGGTAACAAATAGCTGCACAGCATCGCGAGAGAATCAAACAACGTTACGTTGGATACGAGTCACGTTGCTGTGACTGGGTCTATCTGCAACTCAGACTTAAAGCACCCTTAACCTAATGAGTTTTGAATGACAGAACCAAATATAATTGTCTAAGGTCAAACCCAAAATAAATCAGGACTGGCAGCCCATTGTATTGCTAGCAATAAACGAAGGACGAGGTGGAAATAAACTCGAATAAAATCATGATATAAAGAGAGTTGACGTCAATTTTTTTGTAGTAGTGTGGGTAAGTTTGCTAGCAACTTTGAGAGGGATTCCTCAGTGTGGCACTGACGGCAACATGCGCATGCTAAGCCAAGCAAACTGCTTGGGGACCAACTGCATTCAGTTCACGCCAATTGCAAGCGATCCGTTGCCAGTTAGTGCCAATTTTGAATAATGACCGAAATTAAGGACCGATGTCAATCCGAAATCTTTATGTTAAGATCGATTTTTGATATTACTTCTATGGAGGTATTGTCAAAAATCGAAATCCGGAGAATATGGATTAAAATCGGTTATTAATTTCGACCATAAGTAATGCACATGATCCCCTAATAACGCCTTAGTTACCGTGCAATATAAAAATGATCGGCAAGTGTTAAATTAACAGAGAAGCTTAATTCATGTTTGTGGTAAAATTAATCAGCGTAATAATTGAAAAGATGTTACGTACGTGGGGTTTAGCTCAAACGTGGATTCGAGCGATTACAAAATGGTCGCTAAAACTGATAACATTTACTTTGAAATTAAAAATCAATATATTTTTATGATGACCCTCTAATTCAGAAAATAAACTGTGAAAGTGACTATTTCAAACAATTGCAAAATAATAAAGTACTAAGTCACAATTTAAAAATTAGAAATATAGAAACACCAAAATGAATGTTTTCTCTACGCACCCACCTGATAGGTTACCTGTGCACATTATTACAATCTAACACACGACAGTCCGAGCTGTAGACTAGATCGCAAATAGGTTCTCAATTAGTAATTTAGTCTAGAATTTCTAAATCTAAATTCCAAATGGTCCCTAACTTTATCAGCTAGTTCGCAATCATTATATGAAAATTAAAATATAATTAGTCCGTCAGTTAGATAATGAAAAATATTCAACACGTATTTATTTATTAACTATTATAAATGTACTTAGAGAGGTTATTGAATTATACTTAGATAAAACAGAGTTAAGTTTAGGAAATCGTTATGTCACGCTACCCAATAAAATGTAGTAAATCGTGACGTCACACGATATTTCAAATCAATATATCGTCGAAAGTAATTAATTTTGTAAGAAAAGAAAAAAATCGTGTGTAATGGTTTAAAATAATCTACCAGACAGACATTAAAAAAAATACTCCACTACCCTATTCACCTAACAGTCAGTTTCAAGAACTTTCCTGTCCCTATACATGTATCAGTGCTAGGCATAGAACATGTGTCAGAATTTTATCCCTAATAACCAAAAGTAAAGAAAATTTAGAGATATTCAATTATAAGATTACTTCATGTCCCAATTAAAGCTCAATGCGAACTAAGTCCTGATAAATTGAATAGTATTAAATATTTGAATAGTATTAGTATTTGATTTGCGGGCCTAAACTTAGTGTTTATTTTTGTTAAATGGTGTTGATAACTAATATAGGGGATTGAAAACCAGTATGTATAATATTTTATGGTCAAATATTCCCATATTCCTTTATAAATAGTATTTGTGCAACCCATGGTGCATGGATGTGGTGATATGAATTACTCCAATGCTTACCTGAAAACACCATACATTGTGATATCGAGGAAAATAAATTAATTATAAATAGGTATTCTATCTAAATCTTGTCGGTAACATTTATACCGCTTCCTTATACCTTAAATCCTTCAGTATCAAAAACAAAGGCTTAATTCATTCAAGACAAAAGTAAATCATATGTTTGTCACATTCCTTTGCCTTTGATTCTGAGCGATTTAAAAACTTTCTTATATCTCTCATTTTCTCTCTTTCAATTTCCGTAAGATGAGTCAATCATAATGTTCCCTTTTAACCATCTTTATAATGTCGTGTTACATTTACAACATATTATACAATAATATTGTCAATACATTATTAATTATTATGTAACCCATATAGTTCGCTTTTGCTGCCATATTTAGCATTTATTGCACAAGGTGCAAGTAATTGTGTAGTCACTGGGTTTTAAAATCACAAATGGGCTACTTTTCGTCGCGGTAACACGGAAGAAACCGTTAACATAAGCTAGTTTTTAATATATTGACAATTTTATTTTCATAGCTCAATATGTAGGGTGTCAGGGTGTGATAGCATAACATTTAGATTAAAACTTACACATTAGGCGGGTAATAAGTGACCAGAGCCTCTCGTCGGTCGGCGGCGGCATTATACCGGGTGGCAGTGAGCGCTGCTCTCAGGGTCAGCGTGTGTCGCCCAGGTGGTTCCCGCAGTGGACATGCACCGCCTAGTCTCCAACGCGTCGACCGCACCAATCTCCATGCTAGGCCCTCCATCATGCCCGAGTCGAAGAAATCGAACATGCGCGCTGTAATGTAAAGGATTATGTTTTAGATACAAGGACAAGACTTGATGAAAATGCTATTGATGCTATTGCAACAAGTATAAGGATTATCAAAAAAATAATTTGTATGGGTTAATGCGGCAAAGCAGCAGAATAATCAGTGCTGCCCTTATACACTCACAACTCCAGGAGATTCACAAATGCGTTGCCAGCCTTTTGAGGATATGAGAAGTTCGGTATTGGGGATAAGCGGAGGATTTGCCACCGATCACAGGCATTTATTATTAAACTTCTAACTCTTTAGTTTAGAATTATAGGAATAGGTTCACCCCTTATTAAATGATACTCAATCAAATGGATATTATGAGTGCCTCTGTCTACCCCTTCACTTATATTATAATGTAACGTCAACTCACCAGACCACGGCTGTCTTCTATACCGCAACTTCTTGCCATTTCTGCGTATAAGTTTGACGGATCCCTCAGCTGACTTCTTCCCTGATCCGGCGCCAGAGGTCGCTTCATTGAAGTGGTTGTTTACATGTCGCTCCAATAACGTCTGTAATTTATTAAAAAGATATTAGATTATTGCTATTTTAAGGTAGGACCTCGGTGTTTTTAATCTGTGGAGTAGACACAAAATTATATGTAAGTCAATAAGTAGCTGTTTAGTACATTTCATTTTGAGTATTAAAAAATAGATTTTCTTCTCTTCAAAAATTGGTTAAAAGACGCAGTAACGCAGTAAGCAATTATTTAAAGACGGCGATAGGTTTTTGTCGAATCGAAAATTAATTTATTTTTACTTATGCGAAGTTTAACAATAGCATACCGTTTTGTTAGTTTTCTTTTTTGGTATAATTTTCGTTATAAAGCGTTGAATACTTTCGATTTGGTTTAGAAGTTGTTAGTGCTAAATACAAACTGATTTTATCGCATACAACTGCTTTTTAAACACATCGTTGATGAAGGCGTAAAGTTTAAGTCCTTAAGAACTAATTAAACTAATACCAATTCATCTACTATAGTACTTGCTTCACTACACTTATTCCTGTGACACGACGCGTCGAGAAAATAAAATAAATTATAAATAATTCATGGCGTTTATCACTTCGACTGCCTATTAATATGGTCTTGTTATTGTCAATCCGCGAGGTGTACTGATTAATTAATAGTAAAATAACGCATTGTCGCAAGTTATCGGTATTTATAGAACGGTGATCGTTGAATAGGGGTCAAAGGGGTAAACTCTAAGAATTTATCGGTCGAGAAATAATAAATAAAATCTCGGTAGTGGTCTCAGCCATCGAGGGTTCTCTTTGGCATCGTCTTCGTGTCCTTGGGGAAAGAAAACATATACAACTTTATCGTTTATATTCTCGGAGGATGCGCCGTAAGTTAACGTCGATATGGCGACATCATGCGACTTGCGTTTTGTCGGAAATATGAAAATTATGTTTTATTTTTGTGGAAAAAAGGTTTTGTTTGGATTGGAGAGAATTTACTAATGGTTTGCTTTAATCGTGATGTCCCATAACTATTATCATTCTAGTGATGGGATCACATTGTTGTTTGAAATTTGATAGGAAATTTGTTAGACGCGCTCAAAAAGATTAAAAACTTGATTTGAATTTGAGTTAATTTCTTATTACAGGATTTTAATTGATTGCAAATTATTAATGCCGGAGACTTTGAGTTGAGGTTGACATGATTTTAATGAATTTACACGAATTTTTAAGATTGAATCGCGTTTAAATGATCCAATCACTCGATTAGACGTTATTTACGAGATTATTTACTTTACAAACATACATTTTAGATTCATTAGTTACGTAAATTAACAATTTCAAAAAAGTACAACACGGTTACTGCTAACAGAGGATATCTTTTTGAAACTGAAGATTTACAGCTGAAAAATCTAAAAGTATTTTAAAACTATATTATAATCATTCCAACGCCAAATGAAATTGTAAAAAACAACTCAAAACTTTGATAGTATTAATTTTATCTTTTTATTGAAATTGTATTTTCAACTGAAGTACATGAAAACAATAAGAAAACAAACGTTACATCTTACTTTGAGCACTTTTTTATAATTAATTTGATTATTATATTGAAACTGTTGGCTTTGGCGGTAAAACGAATAAGATTATTTCATTTTACAAATATTAAAACACTTAAAAATGTTTTAGTTTTACAAAGAGTCCAAAAAATTGTTGCAAAAATAAACAAAATACAATTAAGAAAGAGATTTAGGCAATACTAAAGCTCTGCATGATCAAAAACGGTGTTTAATTTTTTAAAATATATCAAATTCAATGCATTTGTATTTTATTTATTCTGCAACAACTTTAAAACAAATCATAAAATGTTAATTAAAATAACATTTGCAAAATGTATAGGTACAATGACATGTCATATTAAATAATGCAGCGTCTATATTAAATTATTTGAGATTTTTTGAGCTCTAGTTATATACAACCCTTTAAGTGGTTATTGAGATTACGGCTGTGATATAATTATTACTATTTGTCTACACGAGTAGGACAATATAGGACTATAATCCTGAAACTTTGCATTACGCCAAAAGCAGCTGTTTAAATGTATTTTTACGCGAAATGAACCAATTCCATCGCAAGAGCTGGGTATTGACGCCAAAAGCTTAAGAACTTTACCGAATAACTTTTGACGCAGTATTTCATTAATATGAACACGGATAGACGCTTTGCGTTGTGTATGTATACATGCGCTGTTGAAAGCAAATATAACCATACTTCAATTAGTGTAAGTTGACCCCTTATTATGTAGATAATGAAAAGTCAAATTATAGGAAAGGTGTAGTTTGATTTGCGTTCATCAGTGCGATATTTAATATGCCCGTAATTATACCTGTGTGGAGAAGCGCCTCTCGCAGCCGTCGACGATGCACTTGAAGGGCTTGTTCCCGCCGTGCGACAGTGTGTGACGCTCCAGCCATAGCCGAGAACACGATGGTTTGCCTCGCACTTTACACTGCTCCCATAGACACACGTAGTGCTCTTTGCCGACTTGCGTTTCAACATGCGCGCTCTGGAATAGTAAAGGGGAATTTCATTAGAGAATTATTCGTATTCGCAATAACAACAGAAACTAGTTCGATGAAACATAGTAACGTGAATAAATGCAGTAAATGTCAACAAAAATTGTAAATACTACTGACCTGTAAATGATCTAATAGATCTGGATCTCCGTCAAACTCCCGTTTGCAGTTCTCCCACAGACAAACAGTGACGGTGGTCGTCGTGTCACTACTCGACGTCCTGCTGTCACTGCTTGGCTTTGTCAAACTCCTCGGAGGAAAGCGCAGCGTCTTCGGTTGCTTCAGGATCGGACTCTTCTGACTTTGAACCTCAACAGAACTCACACTTATACTCAAAGATAATGAAGAATCTTCATCACATTCTTTACTAGTTTGAGAATCACTAGGAGAGTCTATAGACTTGTCCGTCCCTATTCCTGATTCGGACTCCGTTGTAGTATTGCAGAAATTAGCTTCTATCACAGTATTGTGGACGTCAGACGAAACGTCCTTGAGAACGGTGATTTGTGTGAAGATCGTCTCTTCCCGCCTGGCGACCTCCTCAATCTTTCGAAGTTCCGCATTCGTGTCTGTCCTCGTAACCTCAACCTTGTCATCCTTTAACTCAAATGTATCGTCATACTTCGCCTTCTTGGCTGCAAGCTCTTCTAGCTTCTCCGATATACTACTAATTTGTGCGAAAGGCCTTGAATTTTTTTTATTTGGTTGCAATGGGAATATGTTATTATTAACGGTTTTGGAAAGCCACGGTACATCACATTTAGGCGACGACATTTCTATAAGCTCGTGTTCCTTTACTGTACTACTGGGGGGATCCGTGCCCTGAATAGGATTGTCCGGTGGTTTGACAGGCGCTATAGGAATACTACTTGTGTGCAACGCCTGTGGCGTGGTGTAGTTGGGCACGATGGGTGGTGGATGGTGAACTAATTGACTTGAGTACGTCGTTGTTTGAGAGGACGATACCGTATTCGTATTTGTATAACTCCAAGTTTCCTTCACGTTTATATTTGGCACAGATGTGACAATATAACCGGGTTGCGGCATAAGCATAGGGTGACTGAAATTCACCGTGTAATTCTGTTTCGATTGAACTGTCATGCCGACAGTTTGCATTCCTGTCACATTTTTATTCATCACAGAAATAGGTTGGCTTGTTACTGGCTCACTTTTGTTTACGTTCGGATATGTTGGCGTCATTGTGTTAGCGAGCTTCAAAAGAGTACCTTTTATAAGAAAAGATGCCGCTTGTTGACTTTGTAAATGATCTTGTCTTTGTGTCGTCAACTGTGGAGTTTGAGGAAGAACAAAGTTAGGCATCTTTGTCATTAGATTGGGTATTTGAACTACCGTTCCGTTTATGTTCTGCATGAGTGGAAATACGAACTGGCTGTTTAGTTTCGTGGGACTGGAAACATTGGGTTGGTTAAAAGCTGCCATATTATTCTGTTGCCCCAGTGTTTGCGGCGCCAAACCGTTTTGAGGTATCCTTAAAGTTGTCAGCATCATGTTTTGTGGCACAGCAACGAAGGAAGCTAAATTGTTTGGATTTACGGTTCCATTGCAAGGTTGTGGTATATTGATCGGATGGCAATTTTGATAATTATTCGTAACAGGGGTATTGAGATTAGTAAAGGTTCCATTAATCATGGAAGTTGGATGAACACCATTTGGAATATTCATCTTTGGTGCGGAACTCGCCTCACCAGGCATTAATTTACTGGGTGAGTTTGGAGTCATATTTGCACAATTTTGCTTTTGAAGCTGTACCTGCTGTTTAAGATTATTAGCTTTTGACCAAGTAAGGTTTTTACTATTCGCAATGCATGCGGACGACTTTCGATTGGTTCTTTTTGCGGCACTTATTGACTTTCTTGGAGACTCCTTTTTTGCTGGTTTTGTTATTGGGGTTAGATTTAAATTATTAGATCCTAATGTCACTCCATTCATTCTGCTATCTAATTTAGTAGTGGAACTTACTACGCCATTCATTTTGGACTTATCTGTTTGTTTATTTACTTTTTTATGTAACTGATTTGTTGGAGTTGGCGCAATCCTCATACTGGTCAGTTCACTAGAAGCAGGTATGGGAACTTTACGTCTACTCACGTCAGTCATATGTTTATTAGCTAGTACTCCATTGGCGGATGGGTCAGATGTAGTTTTTATTTCAAGGCCTGGTCTCTTACCATCTATCAACTCTTTCAATAGTCCTCCTCCTTTGCCTTTTGGGAAAGTCTCGGCCCCGTGCCGGATTTCCAAAAAACCATTCATGTTCATATGGCTCTTTTCTTTCATCTCGTTAGATCTACTTAAGTCACTCATACCATTGAAGGTACCGTTCGGCGTCGTTTTACTGAGATCTGCCATTTTTGAAGCGTCCACCGCGCCGTTAATGGTGTTGTTGGTTGGCTTTCGAACAGAAGCATCGTTTTGCTTTCCGACATCCATTAATACTTTAGGACTAAGCGTCTGTGACAAATAAGAAATATATTTCTCTAGGTCATGCGTGACCCCATTTTTAGGTAGGCACTTTTTCTTGGTGTCATCGTTAGCCACGCTATCGCGCTTGAGGCCGTTCTGAGGCTTCATTTTGTGGTTGAAGTACTCAGTGATGCGGCGATGTACAGGCGGCTGCGAGCGCCGTACGGGCGCGGGTTGAACCGCGAGGCGTCGCGGGGCCGGCGGCGCCGGATCACACGCCCACGGCGGCATGCGCGCGCCCGCGCTCTCTTCAGTGGCGCTGCACGACGACTCGGGGCTGCGCGGCGAGCGCGGCTCAGTGATGTCGCTACCGCTGCATCCACCGCTCTCCGTAGGACTCAACACCGCCACGCCACTGAAACAATACCAAAATACAATTACTTACTACCCTACTGTATAAGGCGCCACGTGAGACATAGTAACCTCACCATGTCACAATATTGTGTACTATCACGTTACAAGTTAAATGACAATCAGCTGTTGAATGGTTAGGATCGATCGCTTCGCAGCTAGGCGAGTGTGGCGTGAGTGGGATAGCGCGAGCGTGCCGGTGTCGTGGTCGCAGCGCACAAGGTGCAATGCCCCGGCGGTCCAGTGTAGTGACGCAACGAGACTGCACTGACCGAACGACCGTCCGGACCGAACGCACACATTATTATTTTTGGCCGCGTGACATTCACCGCACGTAGACTTGACGCGACTACACACTGTGACGAATGAACTAACAATTTTTACTTATTGTTCACGTATTTGAAAAGGTGTTTTATTTTTTAAGTATGCTTTTACATTCAACGGAGTGACTTCGCTGGTGGTGGATATCAATCATACGTCTCAGGCCGACACTTACGTGACTTACAAAGTGGGATAGCTGCCGCATATTTATCCACATAACGCGACTCTCGCTTCACACGTGAAATGTTTATTCTGGGAGCATCCTCCCGCGTAACCCGTTTTAGAATCTTTTGTTGGGCGAAATCCACAGGTAAAATGTCGAATAACACAATTTTAACGCGTAACCTTCGTAGAGTTCTCGTGTTCGATTATGAGCTTTGTGGTTTTGTGGCTGTGTCTTATTTTTCTTTGGTATGGGCGCGGGGGTGGGGGTGGCGGTGCCGCGTCGAGGGTGCTCCCTCACCCTTTGTGAAGCCACAACGTACACTCATAACTAGGGTCGTACATTCCCCTCCTTTCTCGCACTTCGTGAGGAGCTTTGTTGCTAATTGACCCAATTTTTTAAGAATTTTTTGAGCTGAAGACATTCGGATCAGGTATCTCGAGTATCTACGTCTAGAAGGGAGACTCTTAATTTGATAGGTACCGAATCGTTAAGTCTGTCAGACTTTTAATTTGAAAAAGTTTCAATTCCTTTAATGAGCGTTGGATTAAAGATTTATTAAGTGTCAGGTATACATACTGACGTAGGAAGATTTGTTTTAATTTCAGGACAATCGAATAAAACTAATGAGCTTCCTTGTATACTAACGCACTCCGAGTGATTTACAGCTAAGTTGGCTTATACACCTCACATGCATGACCCTATACCTATAGGGCACAGCTAGATACGTCACCAGCATCCAAGTGAACAAAGATTTTCCTTAATATATTTTTTTGCGAATTGTCGAAAGCAAAAGTGGCTTGTCAGTGTGGCGTATGTAGGTGAAGCGAGACGTCGCAAGGTCGGCCGCGCCGATTTCGGTCATTCACCTGCGCTCGACACTACATTGTAATCTCTGTTCGAATATAGAATGTAGGTACACAGTTTTGTTTTGCCCTATTTCGTCATCTGTTTATTTTGATATCCGCGTTTTTATGTTAATTACAAGGTCAGACTGTAGTAGGTATCTAATGGTTAGATACTATCGGCGGAAGAGTTTACGTTACGTTATCTACTGACAATGATTCAACTGAAAAATTACGTAGTACTGTTCTATTGAATTCAGAGTAAATTCAACTCAAATACATTCATGAGATCTATTAAGGTATTTCAAATTATTATGTTAAAGAATTTTTAAATGTTTATAGAATAGATACGGAACTACCTAATACGTGATCAATATACGTAACTTACTTATTGAATATGTTTTGTAAAACTTTCTTACAATACAGATACATTGATTGTACAGTGATTAATTTAAAACAAATGTTATAAAGAACCATATTAATGTATACCTAAGGTTGAATATTTGAAAGGTCGCTGACCGGTGAGTTCATTGATACTGCAACGCGGTTTCATTCGTTACACCTGTTTAACCTTACACAAACAGTACAAATGAATATAGGTACATACATAAATTAACGTTCAGTTAAATTTAACCCATCTTTTAACAAAATAAGTTCTTAGTTAAAGATTTTTATAAACTTAATAATAATACATCAACAACAAAGTCTTTCTTTAATTTTCATACTGTGGCGGTGCATCTGCTGCAAGAGCCTACACAAAATCCCTGGACCCCATTAAAAAGTACATTTCAAGATTGCTTACTCACTTAAAATAATATCTTGTGGTTTAAACGTTTAACGTTAAGGGTGCGCATACGCAGAGCGAGTGGTGACCGCGCGATAACCGCGTTGCGTTTTACAAGCCCTAACGACACGATTATTGAGCGTAACGAGGGATCTAGTGATGTGATGCTATCGGCCGTGGCAAGTTAACGAGACGCGACCCGCTCGCCTAGCGTGTCGCCCTACGCTGCGTGTACGCAGCTCCATTCGATGTGTTACTAAACATACCCAGCAATTATATTTATTAATGAAATTAATGTTGCTTTTAAATTGTTTAACAGTTTTAATTTATTTGCTACTTGTGTTGAAAACAAGCATGTAACGCGTAATTAAGTTTCCTCAGTTAGTACACGTGTATGAAAGAATCATTAAATAAATATACGAGTTCTAAGGTACAGATCTGTCATTGTGTATGTAATTAGAATTACCTATGTAGATCCAAAATATTTATAGAGCCCACAGAAACATCCTTCCGTAATTGAACAAGCCCACAAAGCCCTCAGCAATGGTTAGATGCGGGGTTTCTTGGTGTGAGGTTTACACTACATAAGCACCTGACTTCACTCGAAGCTTCTATGATTACACAAATATGTGTACCTGCCTGTTATATCTAAATATAACATGTTGATAATTTACACGCTTGTGCCTGTCTAACTGAAGTCAAGACTCACGAAAATGGTAACCATTTTGAATTTTCTTGGTTACAAAAAAGTCGTTAAAGACTTGTAATAGGTGTTGTGTTAAATGAAAGAAAAGTTACTTAAGCTCCTTTGTATTGCGGTATTACTAAATCGCATTTGTACGTCAACCCGTAGAAATACTTAGCGCAAAAGTTTGTTCCTTAGAAAACAATGTGACTGTGGCAGACATTACTGAAGTTTTTATAATTTTGTTGTGTCGAGTCATATTACCAACATTATGTCACGCGTCTGTAACTTTTCTGTTTTCATTACTTAACTTATGTTTTTTTGAGGCTTAAGTAAATCATAACCTCGTCTGTGTTTTCTAAAGACTTAACTCGAGACTTCATACACGTCACATTGTTAGAGAAATCTGTTTCTTAATATTTCTATCATGGACATGGAGAGCTTTCTATCTCTGATATCGAAAGGAAACATGTTCTATTATTGTTAAACGTCACAATTCAGTAGTAACATAGGTTCACAATCGCAAAGAACATGGCGTGAGTACGTAAGTACATTTCTCGGAAATGTCGCCGCCCGTCGGACTAATTGTTCGCGGAAATTACTACGCTACGCTACGTTAATAGTAACTACGAAACGCGTACTATTAGTTGCTAGTTTAATTACACATCGCCGCTTTTTGTTCCACTGCCTCAGCATTGCAGGTGGCTCAGAGAACTCTTTGTTTTGCTGGGTAAACACGTTATTAGTTTAATTGGATTGGTGATATCAAATATTTATAAATGCTGGTGTTAACTAATTGGATTTCAAGTTTTTAGTGAAGAATAAGTAAGCATTATCGAATTAACGAGTACGGAGAATCACTTAACACGTTTAGTTGAAATAATAGTTGTTGGTAATGTAGTGATTATTTATCGAGTGAAATTTGAGACAAGAAAAATGTGAGGCGTAAGTAGTGGGTGCATAAAAGCGCAAACGATACATGTCAAACGCACATGGCGTCGCCCCCGTGCGAACGAGCGCTTTCATTCAACACCCCCAGGATTTTGATATAATAACCATGCCCGACGATTTCGTTAGGGGTCCTAATGGCACTTTTTGTAGTTAATTTTTATGAGTACATTTTCGACATCATAGTTGTGATTATATGATTTTTACATACATTTATTTTAAAATAAGTACTTGATATTCTTAACCCTTACTTTATAACTAAATTAAAGAAAGATTACTTTGTTTACCGAATAAATCACAAAAGAAAACAGCTTGTTTATGTATCATTAAAAACTACTGATCGGATTTTAATCTGCTTTCAATATCAAAGACCGCACATGTAGAGCCGTAGGCGGCAGCGTTTGAATTAAATTCACGTATACAGCACAAAAGGTTTTGTACATAATTATGTAGATATCAAAGTACATACATGTAGATTCCTAATTATACACCAGCACAAACATAATACCAGACTACCAATTTTATTAGTATCCATTTAAGTTACAAGTTATAATTAAAAAGAAAAATAATGTTACTTTACGAAATTGAATTCTAAAATAAACCTAAAGCCTCCATACACATAGCACAAAAAGCATTAGTAAATCAAATCACACATAACAAAGAATACTTTAAAACCTTTCCAAATTAAGTCTCCCAATCTTTCTGGGGTCGTAAAATGGAATATTATTTCGTTTAGCGTTGGAAATTGATCGCCGTGTATGGGGCAGGCCCTCAGGGGATTTAAGTCCTTGTCAAATTTCGCTTGAGGGTTTCACTGTGTTGTTGCGGAACCCCACTGGGTGCATATGGCCCCCGCGAGGACGATGCCCGCTGCAAACCGACCCCAGTGTTACGAATTAACAAAACTACAACCCATTTGATTAGTTCAATTTAGAGTTTGGTTTAAAAAGTTTTAATTTACACAGATATTACAATTTAAATATCTAAATTAATGTAAATGAAATCAGCCCCGTCGAATCCTTTAGTGTAAAGAATTATTTTACATTCAAATAGGAAATCATTTGTTGAAATTAAATCGTGTGAAAAGCTTAGAATTAAAATGGAGCCTTGACCCCAGTGTATTTCCGCGAGTTTTTCACAGGTGCTGTTTATACGTGAACGTTAGACATACACGTGTATTACGATAAACACGTGACATTGTGGATATGTCCTTGAGTAACTATAACTATATAAAATTTGATAACACCGGTACTCCATGGCGTAGTAACAAACGGTTCTGTTGTAGGAACTATACTGACGTAGTAGACATGTAATTGAAGTTTAATTCCAAGAACGAACTGAGTTATTTTTTCGTTCGACCAATTACAATTTAAATAGACGATTTTAACTGTAACGCTTTCTACAGGAGAGTTTTAAAGGCACAAAGATCTATGAAAAAATCCTCACTTAAACCTCGAAGAAGGCAAAACACTATTTATTTGATTGCGTTCCAACTGCGCTATTTAAATTCCCATCAAGAATATGGAGGTTCAATTCCTTAAGTATCATCAGTTTTTACACGAAATACGTTGTCAGTAGTAAGAATGACGTTTTATCCATAGTATTAAGTTGATACCCTTAGCAATATAATAATGTGCAGTATGCGTAGCCAACTCGATAGCTCATATTCTGTTTCTCACGGTACACGAGTTGCTAATCTCCTAATTGAGATTTATGTAACATTTGACCAATATTCCGTATAAGGATGGCTGCTTGGAATATGTATAGCAATTAATATTCGATGACCTCTACGTAAGGATGTTTGCAGTGTTTGCATTTTATTTATTTATCGTGAACTTTATTGACGTTCGTTTTTGCAATGAAACTATTCATTAATTTGGACGTCTGATTTTATGATAAGAATTTTGAACAAATAAAGGCATCTTAATAACAACTTATTTGTTCTTGGAAAATTCCCATTTTAATTTCAGAATCATCGAAAACAGTCTAGACAGTCGAATATTTTCCATTTCTTTCAATTTGTAAAATTAATTATTGAGTCCCACTCGTTCTCGGTAAAGGATCATTATGTCGAGTAGCTACGAAGGGAGCAAAACGTTCCAAGAAGCCACTCAACGTAACGAAAGGGAATTTAATGTGATCGTATTAAGAACAATAAATAAAAACAAAAGTCAATTTCTAGATCGAAAGAATTCCCCGGTCAGTCCACTTTCCAACTGCATAACTGTAACCATACTGGTTTTCAATGTCGTGTTGCAGAGATTATGTCATCGGCGACGTATTTACGTCGTTACCCATTCATTACAACGTTGAAAGGAAGCGCGTCGCGTGAGAATCGTGTCACTGTAGGGGAGTGCCGCCACCCTGCCTCCTGCCTCCCTCTGTTCCTACTACGAGGGGGTCGGCGCTCCACCCGCGATTATTATGCTAAGTGTCTGTCTGTATCGGGGTGAGTTTTTCGCGCATCTGCTATTTATTTACGCGTTTTATATTCATGGGATTGCGTAAGTCGCTCGGTCGTGGCGAGGCGTCAGGCTTACAGTTCATTACGTCGTGTTACAAGGTTAAAACGTGCGTTTTGATACCCGATTTTAGTTCTTGTGTCGTTGGCTTATAGTTACGTTTCTAGGGTGGGCATAAATAGGTTACTAGGCGCACCCACCATGACGCTCCTGCCAAACGTTGTTCAATTGATTTTGTTACTAAAATGCCTTTTCAAACTGCTTTTAGCTCCATTAGGAGCGCCGAGCGGGGTCATACTCATAGGGAGCACAACGGTGTACCTGCGTCGATATAAAGTTACATTTTATAAACAAGACCGCTATTATTTATTCTAACGCATGAATAATTAATTGGCTGTCTTCATTAAACACATTAATTCTTCTCGTTAATGGTTAAATAAATGTATAATTAGGTACAAGTGACTACACTAATTAATGGTAATGAATTCGTTATATCGAGGCGGTTACAAATCTGTTAGTAAAGTAGGCGTTAACCGTAAGAGCGTAGGCTAAAGTTTCGCGAGCAGCCTTCACAAACTCAATTTCCTTCTCAAATCATATCGGAACCGAATCCGATAAACGTGATAGTTTGCGCGCGCCTACGGAACTGAGCAAAGATAGTTATGCAGATCGAAATTTCAAAACACTTCCTTATCTTTAAAATTGTTGGATAGCGTCGATGCTGGTGGCGAAAAGGGATTAGTTTTCTTTTAGGAGTTGGAATAAGAGCTAAAGTTGTGTAACGAAGTAATCCAAATGTTTCATTTGACGTTGCAGTCACAAAGACGCTGCAGTCCCAGTTTCCGTTAACGTCTGGGCAGGAAATAACCGGATCCACAGAGACAGCTTTGTCTAGTACTTCGGTTAATATCCTTGAAAGTAATGTGGTTTTCCAAATACTGCTGGCTTTACTTTGTTTTTGCTTTTGTCCTTTAGTTTGGCTTGGCATCATTAAGTAGATTGCAGTTAATGTTCCGAGTGTTTTCTGGGATCAGACAATGTTATTTTTTACTGTAATATGACGTTATAAATGGAAGCGTCTATAGAAATCTCAAAGGTTATTATTGAATACAAGAAACAAGAACGCGGAAAAGATGAATTGCATGAAACTATAACTGTACTGACTGACAGATTATTACGCCAATATTTGTCTGGCCGTTACAGTTTCCTGTTTCTAAGATAAACTGTTCGAACAACTACTTAGAATTTGAAGCTAAATCCATCCAAATATTTTCTGTTCGATTTCATCTTTCGTTCCGTAAGCTATACATAACAAACGCACTTACGTCATTGCGTATATTACGGAAAGAGTGTAAGCAGTAGATGAGAACGCAACGACCAAAAATACGCACCATAAAATATTCACACGTAGACTAAACAAACCAAACGGATTGTTTCACATCCCTGAAGAACGAGGCCTGATGACCACACACTACAAATATTTCAACAAAAGATTAAAGAAAATTTACTTTACTTCAACCACATTTTGAAGAAAACATTAAATAGAACTGTTACTATTGGAGATAAATTAAAGCAAACAACGATGTTAGTTCAAGATCAAAACGCGTTGATTTTAGCAAGAATTAATCAAATTGTTGATCCCTAATAAAAAACAAGGAACTATGTTACAAATTAGACCCACTTAATTTGAAGCTGGGAGTGCGAAACTTGATTGGTCACACACGCAATTACGAACAGGCTACGGTTCAATGAGATCTATCATAAAGTTGATAGCAGTAGTAATAATAGTAGATACTGCTAACGACCTGTAGTACAATTTGGCTTTATGATCTAAAAGTAGGTAGTTAATTACTAATAGTTCTGTACACGAACACGAAGGAAGCTCTTAATGACGTGATGGTAAAACTGACGTTTATAAATAGAAACTTCATATTTATCCCGTTGTAAATGGATCTTTTCAATCTGAATTCCTTAGGGACTCACACTCAAAGTGTGGTCTTTTGTAAGTGGAACGTCACGTGTTCCATCTAAATCTATGTCCTTTTAGAAATATAGTAGTCGATTTTAGAAACATAGTTTTAAAATCAGCATTGTCATTACTGGTAACTTACCGACGATATTTTAAAAGTTCATAATTAAACTTATTTATTATATTTTAGTAGTACAAGTAGCGGTTTATCTACAACACAAACAGTTTACGAAACGAACGGACGTTGCACTGAGCTGCACTGATAACTTTGTTATTCAACATTCGTATAGGGCAAATCGATAGGAATATTTATACACTGGATAAACTATCGTATTGTACAAACATACGATTGATAAAAAATACTGAAATAAGTTTAAGCTTAAATCTGTCATAAAGCGCTACTTTAAAATTTTGATCGAACGTTTCAAGTAGGTAGGTGTAGTTAGCTACAATAATTTTAGGGAAAATCAAGAGTTTAGTATAAAGGTACCTATTTATAAATCTATGGTAATTAACGTTACGGTAAATTAATTCCAGATTTAATGGGGTTTCCCACAGATAAGGGCGTAAGTGGTAGCGCGATATTAGTGTTGAAGTTCTAGATGATTCTGTTTTGTTTAATGTTCTCAGGTAAAATTGAATATTGTATAAACTTTAATCTCCTATTGTCAGAGGTAATCAATCTCAAGAATGCAGTAACCTTCACAGAACCTAGAATTATATTTGAACTTTGCACGGATAAGTAAGGACTGAACTTTGCAATCGTGACATAATCTAGTCATTACAAGTTCCTAGATGTCATTTCTTTGTGTGGTAAGTATGTCAAGTGCATGAATAACGCATTCATTCGTATATCATAATGTGCCTATTACACTTCACATAACGAATCCCTACTATTTGTTCGTAATCTCGATATCAACTCGCGAAATTCTTTGCCGTTGTATCCAGCTCCGGGTCGCTGCGTACGGTATTTACACAACGGGAATTCGTATGCTAATTGATTTAAATGCCTATTTAAGATGCGTGAGAACGTGTAGAGCTAGAGGTAGACTGGTCTATTCCCGGATGTAAGAAGCACGTGGACGTGGATTAGAATCAAACGGTCCTCATTTGAGGTTAGCGTAACGTTACAACTCCTTTTATCTAATAGTAAATATTATTTTTAACTAAACGTGTACACATTAACGTACGTCGGCCACGTGTGTAGACGACCAAACAAAAATATTCGCCCACACACTGTGATCCAGACGACTAGACGCCTACGCTGAACTTCACCGACATTCAACTACCTACAACAAATACGACAAAAACATACTTTTATTCGTTTTCTGTTTGCAGGGTCGTGTGCATTTACATATTTCGAGAGGGTAATATTAGCAGCGTAGTGGATACTTGTATTTTTAAATATAAACTGCACAGTGAAGCTCTTTATGTAGTATGATGTAATTGCAGACTTCCTTAAACGTCATAATTAGTATTTGGTCCTTTGAGACGCGACACTACGGCAACGCGAGATTCTTCCTCATTCAATTAAAATAATTCAAAGCTAATAGTAGTGGTAACAACAAAGGGCATTGCATATGTTCCGTAATTGCGAGTGCAGCGACCTTGTGTCTGATGACAGGCGACCGGCCTCGCTGTCGACGCCTTTGTCAAGAGTCGTGATCATAAAAAACAAAGGATTACCGTAGTGCACGATGCTAATAATTATGCTTCAGCTACTATTATGTGACACATGAATAAAAAGTGGAAGCTACCGTTGAATCGATCACGTAGGTTATACATTTTATTACCAAATGGTTGGTAGCGTGCCTTTGAGTATTACTTAACATCACAGTCGTCTTTCCAAAAGATAACTAACATGTATGTTTTCACTTAGATAACGTTTTAGGATAAGATTTAAGCAATCCGAAAATCATGAAAACATAAATAATAACAACAGTAAAATCTGTATGTTCTTCTTTTTGTAGTAAATAGGTAATTATGCGTAATAGAGTAGTATCTCCGCATCTTTAGCCGCGTATTATTATTTGTACTCGCTGTTCCAATTTCTCAAAGGTCGTGTTGTGAGTTGACATGTTTTATCTTTGAACGTAACATATTCATGACAAAGGGCAATGACCGCGTCGTCTCTAGCTCAGAATGAATCTTCATCAAGTGGGTAATCAAAGCATTGTGAATATTGTGAATCACTAGTGCAGTAATTTTGCGATTATATTTTTACGACATCGGGTGCGGAAGACAACAAAACCAGTTTTCTTAAAATTTTTGCACTACAAAACAGACCTTGGTTTATACTGAGTTTATTATTTATTTATGTATGACAAATGAATTAATTATTCATCCGACAGATTCTCTTAACAGATAATCCTTATGCAATACATGTGGCACTTTGTATGCACATACATAATGTTATATATTTCTATAAATATTTTATCAAACAGGAAAAGTTTATCATCTATCTGCGTGACAAATTCCATCAGAATACACGCAGCAGTTTTGCGTGTACGGGTACAACAGACATCAGTCCATACATATCATCAGTAAATTGCTTTGCAGTGCTCGTGTAATTGGAATGATTTGTGCAAGAACAAGTTGACACAAGTCTTTAATAATGCTCAATATGGAATGTAATACATTATGATAGCGACATCAGCGTCGCATATTAATCAGTTTTCCTATTTAATGTTGTTTGCTAACTAATTCCCACGCCATTCTAGTTTGAAACGTAAGCTTCTTTGTATTAAACCTGTTAGAGTACGTAAGGCAATCTAGGAAACCTTGATGTCACTTTGATTCTGTATTGATTAAACTAAGATTTAAAGTGTTAACGTGTTTGTAGAGTTTGCAGCTTCCAAAACTTGAAATCGTAAAAAGGTTTGGTAATCTGTTTTCAGAATAAAATTAGACCCACCTAGAATAAAATAAACAAAACGTACAGACAACAAACTTTGTCAAAATTTCTGTTCCATTCAAAGATCCCTAGAGCACATCCACATCAAAAATCCCTAATAAAAATGTTATAAATATCTAAAGCGTATAAAAAGCCACATTTTGGGTTGTTTTAATCGGTGCGCGCTGGCTGGAGGAAGTGAAGTTCCGGTGCGGGCTTAATTAATGGATGCCGGTTCCCTGCCGAGTCGGGGAAGAGACAGTCTACTGTATAAATATACTGAAATTGGAGTCTATTAGTAGACGAAGACGGGTGTTACGAGTAGTCAATAAGGCCAAAAATAATCTGACGACTGTATCCCTAGTTTGTTATTTGATATGCTGACGCCTTTGGACTGACAGCGTGTCATTATAGTTAATATGCTAGTGGAAAATAAGTTAGATGCGTGAGAAATATCAGTAAAACTTGGAAGTTCCGATTCAACACTTCAACGACTACTGTGGTTATTAAGACACATTTGTAATGCAGAGTTTTGGTGAGATAACTAAGGGTAAAAGAAAACAATGTGTTTTAGCTTTCATTCATAGAAATCCAAAGCGTACAAATTCTACCTGTGATTTTTAGTTAAACTACAATACCATGGGCTTTTCTAAGCCGGATTTGAACCGAGAATTTTGGCCAGAAAAGAACAAAACATGTCATAAATTCCTATCTTCCTCCCTACTAATCCCACTAGGGAAATAAAGTATTTGCTGGTAATTTTCAAAGCCTTTCAAATTCTAAGTATTATTTTATCGAGACTTATCTTTTTTCAGTCAGGGGTTCGAGATTACTGAAGTAATCCCACTCCATCCGTAAGGATTTTAATCTTTTTAAATTGAGTTAATCCTGTGAGGAACCTACTTATAATCGCTATATAAAGAATGGTATTTTTAGAATGGTCGGACTAACGAGATACTATGGCTTTCGGATTTCTAATTTCTTTGTATAATTGTTTACCTAAAGGCCAGTTCTGTATAGACCAGACAGTACAATTTAAAATTCCAGTTTATATAGATTCTAGCCTCCATTACATGATTTGGTCCTTTGGTACCGTGTGTACGTAAGGACCACGTTTGGTAAAACGAAA